TGCAGAAGGTTCCCTGAACACTTAACAGACCCCAAAGCGGGGAGGGAGACAGGCACCAAATACCAGCCAGGCTTGCAACCCAGGGGAGGGCGGGAGCCAGGCTTATCTTGGAGAAGGAAATTCCCAGAAGGCAGAGAGGAGGAGTCGCAGCCAGTCAGATAGAGAGAGCGCCTCATCTCCTGAGTCTGGATCCAGATGGCCGGGTGGGGCCTTTATCTTCTGGAGCCACCGTGCCACACCCAGGAGGCTGGCAGCTGACTCCGGAGGACATTTTGAGAGTAGCAGGAAGGGAGGATGTTTTGTGCCACTCAAAGCTATTCCAGCTTCCTGTGAAAGGTTTCTTCTCCAGGTAATTTGCACAGGTGGGAGGAGGGGCCCCAGGGCGGCCCTGCTCAGCATTCCAGGTGGCACGGAGGCCCTCAGAGCAAGTGATCCATGTGGCTCAGGGAAGGGCAGGGCTCAGACCAGGTCCCTCTGGTGGAGTCCTCTCCGGGAAACAGGGAGCGGCTGGCAGGAAATTCCTGAGAACCACTGGGCTGCACCAAGCCCAGTGCAGCTCAGCCAGGGGAGCTGGGAGGCTGGCAAGGAGGAAGTCACGGGAAGGCCGCGCCCTGGGGGTCACGGAGGAGGAAACCACATTGCCGAAGCCTGGGAGACTGAGAAAAGCAAGGCAAGGCCAGCGGGCCTGAGAAGGGACTTCTGCTGCGGGGGAATATGGAACAAAACGCAAAGGACTCGTCTCCCCCGGGTGTGCTTCAGGACAGCCCACGTCTGGGGGAACCCACACACTCCCAGGTGGCCCCTTCCTTCACCACCATGGTCCCCACCCGGCACAGGAGGAAGGAAAGCCTGGCTGTGCTTCAGAGGAGAAGGCCACCCAGACCCCAGGCGCACTGAGCCGCAGGAAAGGCGATCGGTAGAGATGAAGCCAGAGCGGACAACGGCCTCAGGCCATCCCTGAGCACACCTCCATCACCGCAGGCCTGTCCAGCTCAGCTCAGGAGCATGAACTGACACCCTGGCTCTCAGCTCTAGCCTGCAGGGGTCAAAGCTTTCCTGGTCAGAGGGAATCAAACGAAGGCTTTTTGATGGTCTACACAAATCAGTGTTGTTTCCATTACATCACTACCCAACATTGTGCTCTAACCATTTATCCAGTGGCCCGAAGCACCTTCACTGCTCTGGGTACAGCTAAAGAGTCTTCAGCGGTGAAGTCATCATCCTTTCTAGGGACTAAGGGCCACTTGTTGGTGGAATAAAAAGGTACTAAATATTATTCCCAGCTCTAAAGCCCACACTGCGGGGTGTAGTGGTGCATGCCTGTAACCTTAGCATTGTGGAGGCTGAGGCAGGAGGTCACAAGTTTGAGGCCAGCCTGGCTACATAGTGAGCTCAAGTCCAGCCTGAGTCACACAGCAAGACCCTTTCTCAACAAACAAACAAACAAACCTGCATTCATGGCTCTGCCAGTCATCAATGGGGAATTTTTTTTTTTTTTTTTACCTAAGAATTAGTATTTTAAGATTCCAGTGTACTGAAGCTGATGAGGTAGCTGGTCACTCAGGACATAATGAGATTTCTCTCCCAGAATGGACACCTCTCTTTAATCTCCAGTCCGCTTCTACTGTATGATGAGTAAATACTGAAGGAGGATTATCCTGTTTATTTTTACTCTAGGAAGTGATCTGTTCCCTAACCCCAAATGTAAAGACTAATCAAGAAAACACTACCTGTAGGTCAGAATCTGTCATGCTCAGTAGAGTGTTAAAAAGAACGCCTGGCTCTGAGTCAAAAGAATTGAGAACATATCCAGGCAGTAGCACCTGGGTCATCTGAGGGTGAGATGCTTTGTAACTTTGGTCCTCATTTTCCTCCCAGCACTCTGGGAGGCTGGAGCAGGAGGATCTCAAGTCTGAGCTCAACCTGGGCAACTTAGTGACTAAGCAAGACCCTGTCTCAAAATTAAAAAAAAAAAAAAAAAAGAAAAGGACTATGGATGAGCTTAGTGCACAGGCCCTGGTTTCAATCCCTAGCACACGCACGCACGCACTCGAGCAGGTGCACACACACAATACTGAGGTTCTTGGAGATAGATGTGAACATTAAATAAGATCATGCAGGTACAGGGTCTAGTCCAACCCCAGGACCTACCTGGCACTCAATTAAAATGAGTTATACCGTAAGTAACATAACATTCACTGCTGCTGCAAACACTCCTAGAGGAGCGGGAATTTGCCTTGACACTGCCAAACGGAGGGATGAACGGAGACCCAGGCCTGCTCCGTTAGAAGCAGCATTGTGATGGCCGTACAAATGTAATGACCGGTGTAAGAGACGCCTTCTTCTTCCTCAGTGTCCAGCCCAAGGAGTCTGAAATCAGGAAAGCCACAGCTTGTGTCCAGAGAGCAGGTTCGGCCAGTTTGCCAGCTTGCAGCTGCCACCTGGAATTCACAAGCTGTTGCTAGAGGCACCTGCAGAGCTGGTCTTGGAGCCCACGTCCCACAGCAGGAGCCCACGTCCCACAGCAGGAGCCCACGTCCCACAGCAGGAGCCCATGTCCCACAGCAGGAGCCCATGTCCTCCCAGCACTCTGGAGGCCCCAGGGAATAGCTTTTTGCCTGGAAAACCAACCCAAACCATGCTAACAAAGGGAGGCTCACGTACACATACACACCCTTCCAGGGAAGACGGCCCACAGGACGCCAGGGGAGTCTGAGGGCCCAAGGGCTCTGTCAGAGACCAGGATGCAGCAGGTGGAGACCAGGAGAGGTGTCCCCCATCAGTATAGCGGGCATAGGGGTGGGTCCATGCAGGTCCCCCCTCTTTGTTTTTCTTCCTTTCTTCGGGACTAGGTGGAGGCAGGACTGCACGAGGGAAAGCTCTGACTACACTAAGGAGGGAGAAGATGTCCAGAGCAAGGCAAAGCTGAGGCCCGATGTGCCCTGATATCCCCTCCCTCCTGCAGAAGCAACCCAGATGATGCCATGCAGGTGATGGGGGTGGGCATCTTCCAGCCCATGTAAGAGGGCTGCTGTCACTCTCTGTCATTAAGATTCGGAGACGCCTCCACACTGGTTGGCACAGTTCTCCGTCCTGGCCCCTCGCTGCTTCCCCACCATGCTGGCTGCCCCAAGCCCTGCTTCAGGACCCCAGATCCTCCCAAGATCCAGTACCACTGGATGACACCTGTCACCACAGGGGACTTCTGGGACCCTGTTCTGGTCCACTGGTCAGGTTAGCTGTGAAATGCTTTCAAAGATCACCCCTGACAGAGGGAGCTTAGTGATCTGCGAGTCTCTAGGGGGTGGAGGCAGGACAGGTAGACGGTGGCCATGGGACCTTTGCTCACCTCTAGTCCTCTTCCAGAAAATGGGGATGACATCACTCAGAGTGTCAACTGAGTCACAAATGCTGGTGGATCTGTTGCTCTCTCAGCGCTTGTGCCCTTAACCTTTTTGTTTTTCCTTAACTTTTTCCAGACCCACCTTTCTTCCAAATCCTACAGCCCTGCAGCCTCCCCGCCTTCCCTTCTTATTGCCCTCGGGATCTGCCATAAGGCGGGTGTGGCTTCCAGGACACAGCTCAGCTGCAACTCTCTGCCCTGTGTTTTTGCTCCTCCAAGCAGAGCAAAAGCACTGGGCAGGGAGAGCAGCCTGCTGGGCAAGGCGGGGGCAGGGGTGCCAGCCTTTTCCAGTCCAGGGAGGGCAGCCAACTGGGCCAGGCGCACCACTCCCGGCCGCCCTCTTTCTTTTATTGACTGCAAACTAGGACACCCTTGCCATTCAACCAATAAAGCCCCCGAAGCTTGGGGCTGCACACTGAACACTGTGACTTTCAATTCCTTGTTCCCTTTCTGTGTATTAACCAAGTAACTTACCATACGATAATCTGGTAAGAATCAAACCAGGGCGCCCAATACTATGGCCAGTAAAGTCAGAGTGAAAATACAACATTAACAGCATCATATGACCACTGCACCTGCCCTCCTCTCTCCCTCTAACACACACACACACACACACACACACACACACACACACAGAGGCACAAGTCCTAACCTGGGAGGAGTTCTAATCAGCCCACTGCCCGCTCTGGGTAGACACTAGAAAGAAAGCAATAGAGCAAGTTGGTGCAGCTGCTCTGGAGCTATGGTGTTGAGGCAGGGTTTGTGCATTTTTGACGTGCAGTTGCCCGAATTACACCCTGTGTCTTCTTGCTGAAGACACAGGAGAAATGTACAGTTGTAGTAGGTTACCTGGACACAGAGGGGAACATAATCCACATCATCCCCCCCAGGAGACAATAGGTCTACGGAACAGGTGCACTGCCCTGGAACAGGGGCAGGAAACCTTTGCCTGTCACCAGGCCAACTGGTCACTACAAACAGTCTTGCCCAGAATAACACAAACAAGCAGGGTTTTCCTGCTCCCCCCATGAAAAGCGGAGCAGCAGGAGACCAGCTGTCTGGCTATGTGCAGTCCCCACGCCAGCTTCCCACAGCAAGACGAATCCCTGAGGGGAGGCAGCGGGAACAAGAGGGCGCGCACAGACCCCTGTCCCACCGTGACACCTGATACTACCTTCTGAGGCTCAGAATTAAGCAGGAATAGAGAGCAAAGGCCAAAAGAGCTACAGATCTGGACACATGCAGGTCTCTGTATCATTTTGTTTTTCTTAAGCATTTAGGGCTTTTCCTTACTTGCTGGGTTTGATTTGAAATGAATGCCTGTACAGCAGGAAATCAACTCCCGTGCAAAAGCCAAAGTCATGTGGAATTTTTGAAAACTGCCATACGGTACCATCCGATGTCTCAGTTGTCATCATGAAAAAAGAGCTCTTGCTTCTTAATTTTTCAGAAAATGGTAAAGTGCAAAGCGCAGCTTCATTAATACTGCAGTGGTCAGGGTTGACACCACACAGGAAGTGGGTCACTGAGAGGGTGGCTGTGCAGGCCGCAGGAGCAGGGGCCACCACGGCGCGGCCCACCGCTGGAGAGCACTTACTTGGGAGTCCCGCTGGGCTTCCAGTACCGGCAGTAGAGGCACTGCCCGTCCACGTTGACCAGGTGAGGGAAGTCTGGCTCTGGATTGTTCTGCCGGGTCCGCTTTGGAGAACCCTCCTCAGGCATCCTGGAAGGGTCTTCAAGTCCTGGCAAGAAAGGCAAACACATCCCAAAGTCAGAAACTCTAAGAGATAGAGGAGAGCCTTGTGCAGAGTCAGGAACATTTTTTTTTTTTTTAAAGCTGGTTTTTTTTAAAAACCTCTATTTGAAAGATTTTTTTAAAATTACATACATTTCTTGCAAACCTCCCCAAGACTGAAAATCCCACTTGTTCTTAAGAAAATGCTCACTTTATTTTTTAAGTGCCTCATTACAGCTTTTTTCCCCCCTTCCCATCTGTGTTTATTTTAAATCATTTCAGGAAACTTCATCTTAAAGACTATTTTAGCTGTAATCAAGCGGAAATTATAGTCAGCTCAGTGGGTACAAAGACCCAGCTGCAAGAAGCCCCATGTCCCCAGACCTCCGAGGAATCGTCTCGGGGGGCACAATGACGAGGTGGATGAGGCTCGGGTTAATTCTCCTCTCTGAAATCCCAAAGATGCACCACAAACCTGCTTCCATTACGTCCTGGCTTTTGCATTCCACAACCGCCAAGCCTCGAGGATCACAGCCAGGCAAATAAGGGCTGCTTCCTCATCGCGGCGGTCACAGCGGCTCCCGCGCCCTGCGCCCCGCCCGGTGCTTGGCGCCCCAGATCCTGGCTTTGGGGCTCGGGTAGATGCCGCGCTCACAGACAGCCCCGCGGACTCCCCTCCCTGCCCGGGCGGACACCGGGCGCCGACTCCCCGCCACTAGTTCCTGTCATCACTTTCCCCAAACAAATCGCCGGGGAGCCAGGAGGCGGGGCGCGGGCGGGCACCCACGGCCGGGAAGCCGGGTCGGGCTCCGCGCACCCCGGGGCGCCTCGCGGTGCGAGCGCGGGTCCCCCAGGCCGTGTCCCCGTGGGGCTCGGGACAAACTTTGCGGCTCGCGCGCCTCCGACTGCACAGGGCACAGGGCCCGCTGCTGTCCTCGGAACGCCAGGGGAATGGGGACTTCGCCGCCCGGGGTCGGCGCACCCGGGTGGGGAACACGGAGTTGGCGGGGACAAGTTGGCCAAGGCTGGCGCGAGGGAGCCGCAGGGGGCGCTCACACACACGCGCACCCCGACACTCGCGCATGCACACGCACGCGGGGGGCGCGGAGCCCACGCCGAGCGCGCCGGGGACCCCGGATGCTGCCCCCA